AAAATCATCTAAGCAATGAGATTAGCTTTGATATTTTTTCAGTAAAATACACACAGCCTACATCAGTGATATTAAATTAAAAGTGTTTTATTTTACCAAACATCTCATACATATTTTGAGTCTCAGGACTAAACTTTTGTGCTAAGTGACAGGAACAATATGTCACCATCTAAAGTCACAGACAACGAGGTCAGTGTGATCGCTACTACCGGAGACGGGAAAAGTAATCCTATTAAATGCAGGCCTATTTGCGTCCACAGGAAATCCGCACCTCAGCGTTATGGCAGCAGATTTGACATTTGCTGTATTGTGATGAATTGTTGCAATAAAGTTATCAAATGTCACTGGACACTTTAGCCACATTACCACATTTGTTTATTATATATGTCTATTGGTATAGCACTTATGATTATTGATGCTAATTTTGTAACTTTAGACTTCACCAACAACAGTCACAAGTGTAGTTAATTTTGGTCAGTTGTACAACTACACAATATGCAACTGTATTGTTCTCAAATATAATGTTACTGAGTCAAATTAACAAATTTTACTGATGGTGCAAGATTTGCCAAAAAATCCAGGACAATACATAAATAAATAAATATAGAAATAAAAGTAAAGTAAGAATTAAGACAATGCTTTTGCAGTTGCATTTGGTTCAGACATCCACCATAGCAGCATTCCAGTTTGCTTGAACGTCTGGATTACTGACTGATTTCAATCCCTGAAGCATGCTTCCGAATATGTGTCCTCTCCACAACAAACAGAAATATGAGAAATTCACCTGTACAACTTTAAACTTTGCAGTATATCGATAAATAACGTCATGTGAAGTGTTAAGTTACTCTTATAAAAGTAACTTGTGTGGTCCACTTCCCAAATATTGGCACATTTCATCCCTGAGAAGCTTAAAGTTCAGAGAAAAGTAATCTTATTTAAAATATTTTTTTTAAAGAAAATCTACAAAAACCTAAGTTCAACCTTTTACCTTCTCTGCAGACATGACGTGGCCTCCAAATTCAGCTCTCCCACCGCTTCTTTTTATGGCTTAGAAAATAAAAAAGCAGACCTCTCAGGGGAGATGATGACAGAGAGAGAAAACCCTGTGCTCACTGCATCTCCATCAGCAGAAAGTTGTTAATAGGATTTATGTGTAAAGCCATCTGCTCTGCAGGAACACGTCAACGGGAGAAACCAAGAAAGGCTCGGGAGGAGGGAGAAGAGTTGTTTGTCACGCGTTTCAACCATTCAGAAAACTACATGAAAATTTTCTTTTCAAGGTTTGCATGCCAGTGGCTGCTCTATATGTTTTATCAGTCTGTTGTTGCGAGCACCACCTTCTTTGCTGTGGCGTGCTGGGGTGCAGGCATCAAAGCAAACAGACTAAACAAACACATCAGGAAGGTCGAGTCTGTTGTTGGCATAAAGCTCGTCACCCTGGAGGAGATGATTAGTGACAGTATGCTGGCAAGACTGTTGGCAATCACGGACAATGAATCCCACCCCCTCCATAACACACTGGACAATCTGAAGAGCAGTTTCAGCAACAGGCTTCTTCAATCTCGCTATCTGAGGGAACATTACAGTAGGTCGTTCCTTCCCGTTGCTATCAGACTCTTTAATTCATCCACTTGGGTCAGATCCACACATGTGGAACACAATTAATCACACATCAATGCACTCTGTCACTTTTGTACACCACTACATATTTGCACACATACTTGCCATTTTATATTTATATGTATATTCATATTTATGCATATTTCTCTATATTTATCTATCTATCTTAATATTTATCTGTCATAACTCGGTTTCTACTGTTTGTTGTATATTTGCTGCTATGACAACTCAATTACCCTCTGGGATTAATAAAGTTTCTCTGATTCGGATTCCGGAACCAATTACTTCGAAATATGTGAAATGTCAACAAAGCTGACAGTTAGTGATGTTTTTACTTATTTATTTTTTTTGATGCGTTAATTGTTAATCCCAATAAAAATCCAAAAGTCCAAGACCCAAAGATGTTTTGTTTCATTTCAAGGAAGAAGCTTGAGAAGCATTAAGAAGAATCATTCAGTCCATGACAGTTTTACAAAAACAATTAATAAAGCAGTAAAGAAACAATTTATAAAGCAGTCAAACTCTTACCCTTGCTATAGCCTGCAAATGCAATGGTGGATATATTAGATTAACAGGTCACTGGGCCTAAGTAGGTCCACCCGATAGCAGCACATAAAGCTTTCCCTTCTTATTGGTTTAGCGCTACTTGGCCTGTATCATTGGAAACTGAGTGTGGTAGCGCAGTAATAACCATTCTTCATCCATAAACCTGATGGCATGAGGAGAAAAGGAAAAAAAAGATGAAAAATGCTTGCATGGTAAGGACTATCAAAAGCTCTAAAGTGCTGCATGGAATGTTTACATACTGTACTTGCCATTCGTCCAGGCCTCTTTCATGATGTGTTTGTGGCATGAATTGTAAGACATCCAGCAAAAATCGTGTGATTTTAAACCTACTTGTACATATTTATACGTATTACAACCAAAATGTACACATTTATAGACATACAATTCTTTAGTAGGTGTGTGGTTCTTAGGCAAGGGTGTCTCATCTACTCACAAGCCTCCATATAAACAGTGAAGCCCACAAAGTAGTCACGTGATACAAGTTGTAAGAGGATTTTCATCAAGCAACAGGTCCCCCCATGAACTTGCAGACAAACATGATGCCATGACTGTTCAACTGGGATTACTATAATCAGCTATTCACCATCTGTGCACATTTTGTTTTGATTTTTAGCATCAACTCTGTGGAGAAACACGGAAGATGGAAATTTAAAGAGATTCAGAACAAACAAAAATGTGCAGTCTTAATTCAGGTAGGTGTAACCGCACAGTCACACTGCATTACAAAAAGACTACTGAATCTAGAGATCTGGTTATAACCACAAGCCCTGCGATTTCCTTCCTGCTTTCATTTAAAAATAGAGATTAAAAATTAGTGTCACTATCAAAAACAAAGTGTCATTTCCTCAGCTGACCACCAGATGCTGCTGTACCCCAAGAGACAGAAAACAATGCATGAAGCAGCTGGGAGACACCAGAGGGAACATGGAGAAACTGTAATTTGATTCATCTCGACATATTTTAAAAATGACGGCTTGAATCACAAGCTGTCACATTCACAGTTAAAAAGGAGGTTTTCTTCATCATCGTGTCCCATGCGGCTGTAGCCTGAGTGCTCACAGAGGGAATGGGAGGAAATAAATCAAAGCAGAAGTGAACAATAACAAGTAATAGGAAACAAAGACGGGAAAGCACTGTGTTTTGTAGTTTTATATGGGCCAGACTCTTTGTTTTTCTGCATCACTGTGCAGCTCACACTGTCCAGACTGCTGACTGCTGAAAACGCTCTGGACTAATGGCCTTGCTGGCATTTCTGCAAATGCTTGACAGTAACATGGCAGCTGGCAGGCGGCCTAAGGAGGGCGAGTGACCTTAAGGGAGCAGCAGAGAAGCCATCACGATCTTAAAGAGACAGAAACCACGGCGTGTTTCTCACCATACAGTGTGTCTCTCACCATACAGTGTGTCTCCAGCCCATTTTATTTTTATTTTTATCACCACGAGGAAGATAGTAAACATCGTCAAAGCAATGAGAAGCAGTGTCACGGACTACACCAGAGCGGCTGTAAAAGCAGCTCTTACTATGCCAACAACTGTAACAACAAGCCTGAATGAAATGAAAACACATTAATCTTTGTTATGGTGAAATGGAGGCCATTCAAAGCAGTTGTGCAAACACTAAGCAAAGAAGATATATGTTGAAATACATATAGCTTGACCTTGGACCTGAGGAGGGGGCATGATCGTGGTATTTTAGTTCACCCATGGGTTTAGTGCTGAAACAGCATGCTGGTAAGGACGTGAACCCGGTGGCACTCTAAAACCGAGTGAATCAACTCAGAGAAGGCCCATATTGCAGGAAGCACAAACAATGAAGACGAAACAGGGAAATCTGGTTTACATGAGTATATCCTCAAAGGGAAGACTGTCTGAGGAAGGTGGAAGGATAGCAAAGAAGACAATGGCAGGAGGTCTTTTCCATTCATTATAAATGGAAATATGTTATTCAGGAACAAAAATAGCAGCTTGGATTGTACAAAGATCAAACCTCTCAAGCATACAAGCACAATTCACGTACAGACATAACACAATAACTGCATTCATTTTAAGGTCTTTATGGTATCATATTTATATTCTGATTTACCCAGCTCTTCTCGCTTAGTTCTTCTTCTACTCCTCGCGTGTGGGAAAGTCCTCATCATTTCATCACCTAAAAGTCAAGGAAAATCTCAACGAAACATTTAAACTGCTTCAGTGAATGTATACTTGCTGACATTGACTGTTACAATAGTACCCCATCTAAGCACTAATTTTAAGAACTGAGGCTGACAAGTTAAATCATTTCAAAATGTTGCTTTTCTGTTTAGATTTTTATTTATAATGTTCAGAAATAATTTTTTAAAATGCATGGACAAATAATGAGACATATTGTTTTAGCTGTACACCATGATCACCCCACTGAAGGCCCATTTGATGCCAGGAAAAAACCCTGTAAACAGAGTTGTTAGTGGAAATCTTGACATATTGCTAATGCAAGAGAAAAAGCTAAACAATCCCAAACCTCTTTTAGGATTTGTAGTGAGTGTAGAGATGGCTGGGTACAAATCCATGGATACCATACTGTGTTCAGCTATAATACAGGCCACTTGAGTCCAACATGGACAAACAGACACACCTAAATGAACAAAACTCTTCATTTATGCCACTGATATATTGATTTTAGTAAAGGGTGAAACAATAAAATATCTTTCTATTTTCATAATTGAGCTTTTCCAAGGATTAAATTGATGGGAAGATTAAAAAACATGCTGAAAACCAAAGTTTGCTAAGGCACAAACATAAAAAATTGCCAAATCAATGAAGGAACAAATTAGAAACACTGGCTCTCTCAGAAGCCTCGCTAGTAGCTCATTCTTGTTTATAAAATCCTCCGAGCTGGATAATAGCAGGTCAACTAAAGGCTGTATAACATAGAGTGTATTAACTGAAACTACCTAGCCATAACACTCTTGAAAAAGGTTAAAGGTTGACTTAGATTGTAGGTGACTAGGTGATGACAAATGTAAACAAGGGTAGAGTCCCAGTGAAGAGAGTCCTTACACATTGGCACCAACTAAACCTGTAAAAATATACAATAAACACAAAGATACACATATATGCATAGGTGAGTGTGCTTCTCATATGTGATACTTGTACATAGCTG